AGAGCTCCAATTTACAGACAGAAATGTCAAAAATGTTACAACTATCCCCGGTCTCCCCTACTTTATTATAAGAAAATCATAATTTTCTACTTATCATACTCCAAGACAAAAGGTATCATTTTCAGTCAGTGCCCACCTAACCAGAGCGAACCCCACAGGCACACGAGAACATGCAGACTCCACACACAATTGCTCCACTGTGACCAGATCATCCTCACTGAACGGAGCTTTTAGCTCCTTTAATGCCACCCTTCCTGTCGGCACATCTGTTGATTGGCTGTATGCTTCAGATGACTATTTTAAAGATATTTTCTCTTTATGAAATTATACAGAGTGCTGCCTTCCTCCCATCACCCCCAACCAGTCACAGTAGATGGCCAGTAGGAGTGATGGCCAGCCACTCCTCCCTGAGCCAGCTCCTCCAGGAGGTTTCTTTCCTGTTATAAGGGAGTTTTTCCTTCCTACTAGCACCAAAATTGTGTGCTCATAGAGGGTTGTCTGATTTTTAGGGTTGTCTCCATTTTCTCTGTTTTACTGTAGGATCTTTACATTACAATATGAAGCACCTTGAGGCACCTGTTGCTGTGATTTGGGGCTATATAAGTACAAAGAAACGGTCTGAAATTCAGTGTTCAGCTCAGTCTGAAGCCTGTCTTTGAGTTTGTACGTACACAGACCTCGCTATGTAAACCATGTTTTACTGAGCGTCTGCCATTCTGACAATATATATGAAAGAAAAAATAAAAAACTTATTAGGGCTCTTTATTATTGTGGCAAAATATGGGTTAGTTGTAACGTTTGTTCTTCAAGCTCTTGGCGTCTTACAGAATCAAAGGCCAGATCTGTCTTCGCTTGTGTTAATTAAGTTACGCTGCACAAGGAACATGATAAAACCCCATGCAACTAACAAAAATATGACTTGTTATTTACCCACATACTTAAAGCGATTGTGCCAAGCCCGCGATAGCAGAGTGAGATTGCTACAAGTGTGACACGAGCTTTCGATGTAACAAAATTAAATTTAGAGGCAGGGGTCCCCCTGAGGGGAAGGCAACAATAACATCTTTAAACAATTACTAGAAAACACAAACAGGAAGCAGATCTATTGTGCCTGCTTTGTTCACCCAATGGAGTGATTCTCTGTGACTCGACTAAACCTAACCAACATCATGATCTGGTTGCTTAGTGCCACAACGTGGCTGCAGGTCTAGTGTTCAGGCCAAAGTAAAGTAAGCATGCATTACAAAATATGCACTGTGTCAGTAGATACCTTATATAAATCCAGAGGCAGCAGCAGGAGTATCAGCAGATCACTAACAGCCATGCTGCTCAGGTAGAGGTAGGTGGAGGTTCTCATGTGTGGACGCAGCCAAACCACCAAAATTGTTAGTATATTTCCCAGGAGGCCAAATAACATCAGGGGGGTGTAAATCACAGTCACGCACACTGCAAGAAGAAATAATTATCTGTTTTTATCAGATCTCAATTTGATCTGTTTGCATCTAACTTCCTCATATACATAACACACACACACAATAGTATATATGCGTGTGTGTGTGTGTATTTTTGCATATTGTATAGATTTCTTTACAAATAATTCAATGAAACTATAGCCAGCAGCTGGTTAGCTTAGCTTAGCACCAACCATAGACTGTACATAAAGGTGGACATGCCTTTTCAGCACAGATAATAAAAAGGATCAACATTTCCAGATACTAGACAACGAGTGTAGCTAGAATCATATCCTCATATTACCACCGCTGCCTGCTTGATATAATGAGAGAATGACAAGGAGAATGCAGAGTGGATCTGCCTGGAAACACAGGCTTCACAGGCTAGCAACTTGTGAAATACCTGGAAAGGCTTCTGACTCTAATAAGGACGTCGTTAGAGTCAGACCTTTTTTTTTCTAGAAGAGTTGCCCCCCTTTCCTTATCACTGACTGCATACAAGGAGAAAATAAAACCAGTCAATGATAAAGCCAGTGTTGCCAACTTAGCGACTTTTCTCAACAAGCAGCAGTGCTGCTGTGGGCACCTCGCCCGTGAGCGGAGGATAGTCCACCCCCAGCAGGAGACGTTCACCCCTATGCATCCAAACGGCAAATGAACCGCACATGAGCGAAGCCGCTGCTCTGTAACGCAGTCAGTTCTTCTTTTACTGTTATGCTGTTTTGTGGATCAGGTTTAAAACTACTAATAAACACACACACACAGAGTAACTCCACCAGAGTGCCTATTTCAGATCACAGCCGGTCCGGATAAAGGAGCAGGGTTTGAATTGTGACATTAAAAAAACAATAATTGCTAAAAGAAATTTAATTTGTAGTTTAAATAAATTCTAAATGCATTTTTACTCACTTTGTGTCTGTTCCACGATGTTATTTTTCTCTCCTACAACCTAGGTTACAATGATATTAGCATGACCAATTATGCAAATTAGGCGATGACATCATTTAGGAGCTGGCAACACTGGATAAGGCTGCAGTGTCCCTCAGACTGACATTCAGGTCAGGCTTGTAAAGTCTGGATTTAAAACACCAGCTTGAGCTTTCAAAACACAACTTCAATAATCATGTGTGGTGTTTCTTGTTATATACACGTTTATATACGCTCAACACAACAAGTGGAAATGGAGAGTGCTAGCTAATAAACAAAAGAAACCCTATATGTTAAGATAAGCCAACGAGCCTCTGGCATTAGATTTCAGTGCCCTGTGCCATGTTTACATCAGATAAAGTTTACTACTGATATTGACAAATTTAACTAACAGGGACATGTAACCATGCAAGCTTGCACGAACATCTCACAACACAATCCACTGCTGATGAGTTGCTTAGATGTGAGTTGCACAACCCATGAAATCAATCCTTTTATTTAGCCTAAGACCACATGTACAGAGCAAATCAGCTTTCTGGAGTGAATCGAGCAGCATCACCCTGAAAACAGCATCATACACCCAAACTACTTTAACACCAAGAGAAAATATGACTTTGAAATATTCAGATACAATTTCCTACAATCAACAATTTGTTCTTTTTCTTTCTAAAGAGAAAGATG